AAAATTGTAAGTTATAATGACATTACAGTATTATTTATTTATTTATTTATTTATTTATTTATTTATTTATTATTTTTGATCAAATGATGAATATAGTTTAGCCTTGATGAGTAGACCTTATATACAGATGTCAAAGACTCTAATTGATATAAAATACAGTTGACTTTTAGAGACAAGGATAAAGAACAATTTGTGAGACAATTTTTAGTTTTGCCTATTGTCATTGTACGCCTACATTATGAAACACCTTTTATTGAACTGGTTGTTTTAAAGTCAGCTTTTCAGGGTAAATTTGGGATCCAGCTGAGGTCTGGTCTATTTACTGCACTGCAAAAAATAACCATCTGAACAAGTTTTCAAATCTTTTATCAAGGCAAAAAATCTCTTTGGTCTTGTTTTGAGACATATTGAAACAAAAGGATTTTAAAACCATTGTTGAAAACAACAACTGCAGAAAATACATCTTAAACACTTTTATGTTTTAAACTGTAAAACTGTCATGAATACCCAATACCCTTTTAAGTGTAAACTTAATTTCAACATGTTAATCTCATCTGTATGTGCTCTGTTTTCATATGGATTTATCGTATGGGGACAGTTACAACAATTGTTACAACTGCCCCCCTTCCTGTCAGCCGTGATAAAACCTCATGTGTTAGCTAAATAAGCTCATCTGGATACATGTTAACTAGATTAGTTAAAAGTCAACAGATCACTTGTTTAAACCATATTAGTTTGAGCTGGATCACAAAAACAGTGAACAAAAATAAAGCTGGGCAAAAAAAATACTTTGGATCCTCAAAAACAGTTTATTTCAAATAAATCCTGGAGCAGTTTTTTTGAATCTGCTTACTTTTTCTCTGCAAGGTGGGACATCTTACTGAGCATGTACAGTGTGAGTGGCATCAGCTTATTTCTGTTTGGAGAAAAATGATGTGTTGTAACCGTCCCTTGTTGCTTTTGTCCCCGGTCTCCCCTGTTTACCTGTGTTGCTCTGCTTCAGGGTGACTCCCTGCGGACAAACATCCAGCTGGACTTTGGCGACGGCACGGCGGTCTCATACTCCAACCTGAGCTGGACCGAGGAGGGAATCAAACACGTGTACAGATCTGCTGGAATATTCCGAGTCACGGCTCTGGCAGAGAACACGCTGGGTTATGACTCCACCACTCTCTTCCTGCACATCACCTGTAAGTGATCCTGATTTCAGCTTAAAATCTTTTATGAAAACATTTTGAAAAAGCGGGAGCATCTTCCTGATTTTCTGTCAGGTTTCTGAACTGTTTGGAGTCTTCAGGTTGTATCTCACTGAACGAGTTGATATTTACATCATGAGTTTTGAACATATTAAAAATGTGATTTTTTTAATAGTCTCAGATATTTTGTTGGATTCTCTATCTCATCTCAGGAGTGATAGAGCTGATTTTACACCAGTCCTCCTGTGACAGAAAACATCAGAGGCAGATGTTCAGGTCTGAAAACCACAGCAGTCATAAATAATGACTCTTGAAACACTGATCTGAATCTGCCTGTCTTCATTTCTAAAGTGTACTTCACTAAATTAAACCGTAAACCTGGAGGCGGCTGCTCAGGTGGATGTGGGCAGAGGTGGACAACAAACTGCAAACCGTGCACACTGAAACAGGCCGTGCACACTGAAACAGGCCGTGCACACTGAAACAGACAGTGTACACACATACAGGCCATCTGATTTACCTGCCAACATGCTGAAGTGAAGATGATGTGTGAAAGAACTGAAAAACACATTTCATTTATGTTTCATTTATTATAAAATAGTCAAACATGAGACTGTCTTCATGTTTTTATGAGAAGCTTGTGATCTTTGAAGCTGCTGAAATGTTGCRTTAAACTAACAGGAAGTTGTTTTTATTGTTATTATTCCTGGTATTTCTACCCATCACTGGTTAGAGGCTTCTATTTTAAACTCAGTGTGTAACTCGACTTCTGTGATGCAAGGAAGTCCTGAAGGTAACATTACAGACTTTACAACCTGTCTCTTTTTATCTCAGAYATGTTTGTTGCTGAAAGTAAGTTGGTTCAATTTAATTCACTTTATTTATGAAGTGGAAATTCACATCTGGTTAACCCTGCTTTTCTTTTTCAGCAGTAAAATCTATGATCTGAATAGATTTGTGTTTTTAAATGAGGTTAGGTGCTGAAGTCCTGTTTGCCCAGATGTGATGTTGCAAATAGTTTCAGCCTCCTGTGGAGGAGGATCTAGTCCACCTTCAGCAGCAGGAGAGGACTGATGGGTTTTCTGTTTCTGTTTCTTTTTCTGCCTCATCCATCATGTCTGTTCATGAAGAGAACAAGTGCTTCTCACTTTGTGTCCACAAACAGCAAATGAAGGACAGTTGAGCTGAAGTGAGGAGCATGAATGGTGTGTTGCAGCTGTGAGGTGAGAGCTTTGATGACTCTCAGTTCTTGGAGTTCTGCCAGTGAGGTGTGAGGCTAGCAAGGCCAGTGCTGCTTCAGATTCCTAATGACCAAACTATACGTGCAATCCAACCACACACTACCTAATGCAGGGTTCACACAGCAACATAAGTAGTTTATAAGTAGTCAGATTTTCCCCTACAACACTTTTAAGGCTGCCTCGATCATGGTGATGGCTCTAAAGATAATCTCAGGAGACATTCCTGCAGTGTGTGGTGAGTTAGRACTGATCTAATCAGCTCAGAAAGACGTCAGGGCCACTTCAAACTAAAACAGCAGATATTCAACATGTTGGATCATCTTGGCCTGATACCCCATGTGTGGTGTAGCCAATCAGAAAGCAGGACGACAGAAACATGGAGGGGAATACAAAATACGGAATACAAAACCAAATCTTATCATTTGAACCAGGCAGAACATGACGATCTTGATGATGAACCACCTCAATATGAAAGTTTTGTGTGCACACTATTGTTCCGGGGACCCTGAAAGACCATCACCATTYTGATATTCTGGCTGATTATTTCCAGCAGGGCAGGATCTCTATAAGGTGCTGTATCATAATGAGAATGTACATCTTTGCTGTCTACTTTTTCTTTTCCAWTTCCTGGGCAAGGTGTCCGTGCAATAGCAGGAGTTTATAGGAAAATGGGTTGAGAAGTCTTATTTCCGATGCTTCTATAACTTGGAATAAATCCCACCCTGTTGATTGTGCTCAAGGCATCAGAAGTAAACTCCACTGATCAATAAGATGCATTAGCTGTGATAAACACAACCAACTCTCAGGAAGAAAGTCATAACCAGAGTCATGTATGAAATGTTTTCCCGAGGAGGGAAACAGAGGACGGCATTTATGTCCAGTGCAGCTAATAGATGTTTCATCAGAATCCAGATCCAGAACAGCAGCTAATTTAAAAGTAGAGCGAGTCTCCCACAGCAGCAAACATAACAAATTACACGATTGTCATGCTCTGCAGCTCTGCTCAGACACAATAAAATACTTTTAACACTCTGTGGGAATTATACAAGCTGCCTTCAGTAAGTGTTATATTGTCTCTCTGTCATGATGTTGTTTCACTGATTTGTTCAATCTATTCTAATTTAACCTCTTGCCATCCTGATGTGTCAGCGTGCTCTGTGTTATTACATGTGTGACAGCAGTAATCTGAGCTGGATTTATCTCACAGGCGAGGTGGAACGTTCAGGGAGGAACAGCACAAACATAAACAACTGTTTGTGTTTATTACCAAAAGGCTTTCCCACCTTCATACCAACACACACACACACACACACACACACACACACACACACACATGCACAGTATCTAAAAAGTGGGGATAAAGATTAGTTCTGGTTAAAGCGGATGAAAGGAAAGAGCCCGGACCACAGCGCCACAGATGTTTCACTGGAGGGTTTCTGTGTAAGTAGTGAATTACATCTGTCCACAGCTGGAACTTCATCCCTCAGATTAGCAGAAAGCTAGCAGTACCCCCGTCACATCCCATTAGCTTCTTAAAGGGAAGGTCTGTGGCTTTACCCCGACAGGTAACCTCAGAATACATCATGTCGTCAACAGGTTTTCAGTCTCCAAATAAGATGTCACGTCAACTGCAGGGGCAGATTTAAAACATAAAAATAGCAGCTTTTTGCTGCCACCCATGGAGGATGGTTAACGTTTGGATGCAAAGAAAACCTTTTATTGAACTGGTTGTTTTAAAAGCAGCAGCGGGTGTGTCAAATTGGACAAGTCAGCTTTTCAGGGTAAATTTGGGATCCAGCTGAGGTCTGGTCTATTTACTGCACTGCAAAAAAATAACGATCTGAACAAGTTTTCAAATCTTTTATCAAGGCAAAAAATCTCTTTGGTCTTGTTTTGAGACTGATTTAGTAAACAAGAACTGAATGTGTAAGATTATTAATCTTGTAAATTAAGTGAAAAAAAATCTGCCAATGGAGTAAGATTTTTTTGTTGCGCTCTCGGTGGAGTAAAACAYTTCTTCCTTCTCTCCTGCCCTTCCTTATCTTTCCCTGCTTTGCTGCTTGGAGMCTTCTCTACATTATTCATCCGAAACTAGAAATTACGGATATTTTTTATTTTTATGGATTTGGTTAGCTGGTCTCTCAGTAAAATTTTTGGAACAAAGTTTTTTCTTCCATGGGAGGACACRTKAAAGGTGGGACCTCTGTTCTTCTCTGTTCTGGATTTATGTCTGGACTCCGATCACTGGATTCTACAGATTGGCTTGGTGRTCTCCTGGTGTTCTGCAAATCAGCGTCAGTGGCTTTTCATCGCCTGGCTGACTGACCAATTTGATGGATGGCCGTATCCTATCAGAACTCGGAAATTTTGCCTGGAGCGAGCTTGACTCGGTCTGCAAGCGGTTCTATTGAGGGTCGCGGGCTGGCTGTGGTCCCTGGACTTTGCTTGCCAGATGGAATTGATCTGTGAGGAATCTGATAGATTTGGGCTCCGCAGAATTTTGTCCACAACWTTTGCCTGATTGGATTTGCCACCTTGAGATGTACCAGCAGGAACTCTAAAGCAGATGGAAAATTGTTGTGTGCTTGTGTCTCTTGTTTCCAAAACAGCTGATTATAGAATCTGGATCTCCCCGACAACAGCCTTGRATCTGTTGACTAAATTCTTCCTGGATGGATGTGTCGACAAAGGCTCTGTCTCCCACCTTCCCCCTCCTTTCACCTGTCTAATCTGCTTTTCCAGAGCTGGCTGAAAGCTGCACAGAATGAACAGTTTTCCATCAATATTCTGAACYATAGCTGTGCTGGTTTAGGGGACTGGATTCTTCGGGCTCCCTTAAACTCACTTACTCCTCTGACTAATAAACTTGCTCTATGCAAAGGTTTTTTCATAAACATCATAGTGTGTCACAGTGTTGATATAATATGATGTTTTTGCTTTTTTYCTCATCTTCCCTTCACTTGTGTGGTTTTCAGTTTTTCTTTGTTTCTAAGTTGGCGCCACGACAGGCAGCCTGTTACTGCAACRAGATAATAACARATCCAGGCAGGTGACATGATGTGAAAAAAGGGGGAAAAAGCAGTCCTGCACCTTGGTAATGATAACAAGCTAATGACRTTAGCATGTGACCAAGCTGCTGCTGGAACAACAACAAACATGTTCATCTGTAATGGCTGCCATCTACCGGTGTTCTGAAAAAGTTTGTATCCCTGAAAACATTTCCCCACCAGAGGGGGCGCTCATGAGTAGAAAGTAATCTGCTTTTCCCCCAGAAGATGGCCCAAATCTCATGTGAAGGCTCTGACTTTTGTGTTGGCGCATCCTGATGGACTATGTGTAAAGTGCCAGAATTCATATGATGCTGCTACAGCTGATATATATTTGTTGTCAAAATACCTTTTAGTACATATGTTGTTAAAATAAAATGAACAGTCCAATGATCATTTTACTGATATGTATAAAGACTGCAAAGGCTGAAAAATCTTGAAGTCTGGATGAAACTGGAGGTAGTTTGAGGATGCAATTGTTTATGCTTTTTAAGATGAAAAAAGGGGGGGGTCGTATTATACATGAGATCGTATTATACATGAATAAATACGGTAATTAATTTGAGCGTTTCATTGAGATATTTTGTTAACAGACCAACAGATTAAAGCAGTTTACATGATCGCCTGCCCTTCACAGTGATTAGAGGTTAAGATTTGRACGCCTGCCTCTACAGGTTTTTGTTTTATCTGAAATTCATCTTTTTTTTTGTTTTAATAATCTCTGAAAGCAGCAGAACTGAATGTGCAGCCTGTTTGTGGGATCACAGCATGCACATTGTTATAAAGGCCTGTCTAATGCACTATGTTTTATTTATTCCATAAACTCAGCACATCTGCCAGCATGAGGCTCGGTGACTAATTATACAGATTAAAGTCACTTAACAAGCATTGTTAAAATAATAAAATCAGGCCTTAAACCAAACAAAAAGGCTCATTACTGTTCATTTCAGTTAGTCTCAAATGGATTATTCTGTTTCAAATGAAGACATAAAGCCCCTCTGTCCCTGTCTTCTACATGTCCTGTAAATAAAAAACCTTCAGCCTGACTGAAACGTTTGTCTTCAGATGGATTCACTGCAAATACTTTCCACCTTACCAAGTTTTAAAATCTTATATCCAGCCAAAAAGTATTTTGATCTTGTTTTGAGACTGATTTACTAAACAAGAACAGAACGTTTAAGATTATTGA